GATGAGCTATTGCTAGTGTTAATGTTAGCCTACAGAACTGAAAAAAATCACAGCATCCTACATGGATTTGAAGTTTGTTATTTCATCAAAAGTTTGGTCAGAAACAGTGCGGAACATACCTTTTGAAAATCAATAATAAAACACCCACGTAATTGTATTAATATTACGTCTGCATTGAACTCGACACTCGACGCCATTCACGGGATAAACAGCTTTTCTTTCGGGTCGATCCGAAAACCGAGGGCGTAACTGCCCCTGATTCCGTTGTGTTAATGATCCGATTTTATGTAAATAGAATCTCTAATCTTGATCTGGATATGGGGACAATTTTGTAAAATTCTAAAAATTTTTAGAATTTTTTAAAACTGTGGGAACTTTGGTTTTAATTTATATACTTCATCAATTTGTACAGGAATGGAACTGAAGCGTTGAATATGTAATTCATTGGACATATGTACCAGACGACGCGGACATTCGTGGTCAAAAGGGAGCACAAATTGCCCCCAAAAAATTAGCATATTTATTTATAATACCCATGCAAAACATCACCAATTTATTGTGCAATCAGTCATGCAGTGTTTCGTTTCTAGTGGGTTTGCTACATGTCTTGCACTGCGAAGCAAATAACGCAAGAAATTCGAGATGCTAGAAACTGCAAAAAATATGTATGCGCCATTAAACCACAAGCCGTATGAGATATAGCGGTGGGACGTAGTTTCTTGCGCCTTGGATTTATTGCATTTCAAAATATGTACATATGTACATACATATTTACCTCGTTGACCAATCGGGAGAGGGTGGAGTCGCCGAGACCACCCTCGGGAAATACATAAAGGAATTATTCCCCAACGTCATGAGTCGTCGAAAGACTGGGGCAGACGCTGACACGTTTTTTGAGGGAATGCGGTGGATGGATTCGCCAGCCTCGGAGACAATGTCGCAGGATTGGGGGGAAGTCCTTTCTCGCCTCAAGATGACCACACCCACACTACGAAGAGTACCAAAAGGGGCCAGAAAAGAAGTGGCGCGGGCCCTCACTAAGGTCTTAGAGGAGGTGACCACTGCCAACACCGAAGAAGTATGGGGAAAGCTCTTTCTGTTCCCCTATGCGTGTCTTTCTGTCCCCCAGAAGACCGATAAGGTGAAGAATTTGACAACATGGGTCAAGTCACGGGTTGCTAGGTGGCTAGTGGACCAGACCGCCCCCCCGCCACGATAAAAACGACCTCCCGCTAAGCCCCCTCGAGTGATTGAGAGTGTCGCCAAGAAAGTTGAGGCCAAGTTGGTAGATGGCGATGTCCGGGGAGCAATTCGACTTGCCTGCTCAGATGACACGATTGCCCCCATGACCCAGGAAACGATTGATGCGCTAATCGCCAAGCACCCGCCACATCCGGAGCCTACAAATTATCCCGTACCGCCAAAGAATTCAGTGGAACCAGCAGCGGTGGAGGTGCTTGAGGTCACTACAGCCATCGCAAGCTTCCCGCCAGGATCGGCGGGAGGTCTGGACTCCCTCCGCCCACAAATTTTGAAAGATATTGTCGCGGTAGAACAAGGAGAAGCAGGGACTAATCTAATCGACGCCCTGCTTAATTTTATAAATGTTGTTCTCAGAGGGAGTGTACCGGTCTCTTTCTGCCCCATTTTCTACGGGGCTTCCCTCACCGCCCTAAAGAAGAAGACGGGTGGAATTCGGCCCGTGGCGGTTGGAAATATGTGGCGACGTCTGGCTTTTAAATTGCTGTTACCAGGATGTCGTCCCGCCTGACGGAATACCTCGCACCACATCAGCTGGGGGTGGGGACAAAGGGAGGAGCAGAAGCAGCGGCACATGCGGCCCGCATTTACTGGGGCCACAAGCACACAACAGCCAAGGCCTTCTTGAAATTGGATTTCTCAAATGCTTTTAATGAGATTCGGCGGGACACGATTCTTAGCATTATTCTTCAAAGGTTCCCCTCAATGTTCAGTTTTTTATCGCAGGCTTACTCCTCCCCATCTCAACTATTTTATGGGGACACACCCATCTCCTCCCGCCGCGGGGCCCAACAAGGAGATCCGATAGGTCCCGCACTTTTCGCCCTGGTCGTCCAGCCCATCATCCTTGCTATCGAAACTGAGCTGAATCTGTGGTACTTGGATGATGCCACTCTAGCGGACACTCCAGAAAAAGTTCTCGAGGCATTAGATACAATTGTTCGCATGGGAGCGGACGTCGGGCTTCTTCTCAATACCGCCAAATGTGAGGTTGGTGTGCTTGGAGCGGACGACCATACCCGCTCTAAAATTTTGGAGCGGTTCCGACAGGCGGCGCCAGGGATACAGGAGATATCCCCCGCAACCGCCGTCCTGCTTGGTGCCCCGCTTACTGACGAGGCCATCGAGTCGGTGGTGGGGACAAAGACCGACCAACTTGCCAAACTGGGCGCCCGACTCCTTGAACTCTCCTCCCACTCTGCGTTTTTCCTCCTTCGGGCGTCCATCTCTACACCCCGCCTTATTTATTTTTTGCGGTGTGCCCCGACTTGGCGGAGATTCGACGCCCTCACCCTGTATGACGCCAAACTCAAGGAGTCAATGGAGGGGATCCTCAACTGCTCACTTTCCCCGCAATCTTGGCTTCAGTCCTCCCTTCCCGTCGGCGATGGCGGCTTGGGAGTTAGGCACGCTGTAGACGTGGCGATTCCGTGTTTTCTCGCGTCCGCTTACAGTGTCCTCCCCCTTGTAGAACGCCTACTCCCCCCATACCTCCATGGCACCGACACCGCATTGCAAGAAGGAGAAGAGCGATGGAATCCAATGGGACCCGCAGAATTTCCCCCGCCGGAAGTTAGAGGTTTTCAGGCCTCGTGGGAGGTGCCTCAGCAAGAGGCCGCTATCAACCACCTCAGAAATAGAGCATCTACTCCAGAGGATAAAGCTCGTCTCCTTGCCATGGGACAACCGCATGTGGGGGCGTGGCTCAATGCCGTACCTTCGCCACAACTTGGGACGCTACTCCCAAATGAGACGTTTCGCATCGCTTGTGCCCTCCGTCTTGGATGCGACGTCTGCCACTCCCATAAATGTCCATGCGGAGCTATGGTCACATCAAAAGGCTACCATGGCCTGAGCTGCAAAAGTAGTGCGGGGCGTCATTCCCGCCATGCCGCAGCAAATGACGTGACTTGGAGAGCTCTTCGTTCCGCCGGAGCCCCCACCATTAAAGAGCCAGCCGGTTGTTCCCGGCCAGACGGGAAGCGCCCTGACGGACTGACATTGGTTCCATGGGCAAGAGGGCGGCCCCTGGTATGGGACTTTACGTGTGTCGACACTTTTGCACCGTCTTACCTCCCCCAAACCTGTGTTCATCCTGGTGCGGCAGCCGAGAGGGAGGAGGACAGGAAGACAAAAAGGTACGAAGGTACGAGGACCTTCTGGACAGATTCCTCTTTGTTCCCGTAGCCATTGAAACAACTGGAGTATGGGGCAAGGAGGGCCTGTCCCTTATCAAAGAAATAGGGACAAGGATCACAGCCCTCACGGACGAGAAGAGAGCAACGAATTTTCTCATCCAAAGAATTAGTATTGCAGTTCAACGCCGAAATGTGGCCGCGATTTTAGGATCTCTGCCAGCAGGACGAGAGCTGGATGAGGTTTTTTATCTTTAGGACGACAACAATTAGAGGAATTTTTTTTAATATTCAGATAGGGAAATTTATGTACGGCGCTGGTCGTTTAGCTTTTTCGAAATAAATGTATGTAAAATGAACATGGAAAGAACAATAATAAATTTGTCAATTCTTTATTTACCTTCAAGAAACAACTTTATTGCCGTTATTTCTTGCACGTACTGTAGTTACTCGCATTCGAAACTGGTCGATAACGGCGATCACTGTGAATGACCACTAATTACACATATATGTATGTATGTAAAGACGTGAAGAAAATGCGACGAAATTTCCGTTCGGGTAAAATTTATAACAATGTGTAGCCTACCCGAGTAAAGTCTGGCCTACTGTCGCGCTGTGTGCACAAAGTAGCGGTATCAACTCCGCTCGGCTGAAACTTTGTATATGTACATACAACATATTACTTGGTGGTTAACCATGGTTGTGATGGCAACTCCATATGCAAATTTATTTATTTTAGATATTTGCATTGTTATTTCCAGCAACTTTTTTTTATATTTATGATGATGAAAGTGAAAATTTACAAAAGCAAAGTCTGCAAACAACATTGGAATAGGTATGAAAATAAAATTTTACTTCTAAAAATTTGACAATATTTATCAATTCAATAACTGTGGATGAGCACATATTTTATCGATTTAAGTACATTTTAGTATTTATTTATTCAATTGTGAACAGATATTTAGTACGTATTACTATTTACTACTCACGCAATGAACTTACTCACTTATTTAATTACCACGGAAAGCTTGTATAGCCACCATGGGTAAGGAATATATTGTACTTATGTACATATTGTGTAAGCTTGAGCTATGCCCCGGACTAGTAGCCTAGCAGAGCGGAGTTGATACCGCAACTTTATGCACGATAGTTGCCAAGGTTTTGCTGGGCTAGGCTCAAGTGATAATTTGAGCCGAGTGGATGTTTGTCCGCATTTTCTTCATTGATCAAAAATCATACTTGCGAAATAAGTTTCTCACTTTCTTCACTCTAAAATGCGTACTTATGTACGTGTTAAGCTTGTATATTTTGCAAGAAAATATTCAAATTATCAAAGCTCAAAAAAAGTAAAAATTATTATCTCATTTTAACGTGTACATAACTGCAGAAATGACAAATTGGCAAAATTTTCTTACTAAACTTTTTCTATCGGTTTTTTTGATGATTTTTTGGATATTAATCAAGCAAACTTACCATTACATTTTTGGATGATTTTTGTAGACACCAATTAGTTTTAAATTTACGCAGTCTGCATTTCCCAGCTATCCAAATTGATTTTAAATTAAATATCATAATTCCACAAATTTTTCCCGTTTTTTACTCTATTTTTCATAAAAGATGGTAAAATTTAAGGGGATTGTATTTGCAGATTTACGGTCGCAGAAATACCCCAAGGAGCAGGAAGCTTAAATTACTAAATAATCAAGAAAAATCATCTCGAGTTGTGGATGGAAGCAAAGTTTGGTTTTTATTTTAAAAAACAGTTATTCTCATTTCAAAGTGCAATACAAATTTGAAAGTTTTATAAATTCGTAAACGTTGTTTTTGTAAATGGAGGGGAGAGAGGGAAAAGTTGGAATGGAATTAAGGAGGTCAAAGAAACGGGCCGGAGAAGTTGATTAAGATGACGATTCGGTAACCGAATTTCGGTTCAAGGTAATTGTTAAAAATAGCTGTAAATTAACAAGGGTGGGGACAATACTGTCAAAATAAAGTATTTTGAGCCCTGTTCTTCTGAGGGTTTGCATTTCCGGGGCTGTTACACCCACAAGAAGACGAGAATTTACATACATGGAGAAACCAAAGGAAATACATGTCTTGTCTCTTGTGAATAAATTAAAAATTGACAAATATTTATTTTTGACGGCAGGTTACCTCGGAACCCACGCGGTACCATGTCATCCATGCCGACAACAACTTTGCAGAAGATCATGTGGTATGAATTCGTTCGATTCACGCAGCCCGTGTCCTACCCAGCGGTGGGTTTTTAATTGAATTTAATTAGTTTTATAATTCTCCAGTTAGATATAATTAAATATTTATTTTAATCATTTGTAGGCCACGTACTACGCCCATCTGGCTGCATGCTTATCGGGTCCCCCATCGCATCGAGAAGGAAGGGTGAGGAATTTAAATACGTAGTCACGCCAAACTTTGTAACATTTCAAAATTTTAAAACAGTTTACAAAAACTGGAGCAATTTTGTTCCCACAAAGTTGACATGTATTCAAATCTCTGACATTGCTGAATTCTAATGAAATATATTAATTTTGTTCCTCGGTTTTAGGAAAAATGCGGACTTGAGCGACCTCGTCGGGAAGTTGACCATCCATCCCGACCTGGCCAAAAGATATCCCATGTTCTTCATCTAAACCAATCTCCTCGCCCCATCAATTTCATAATAATAATAATGATAATAATATGATTACATCATATCTAAACCTATATATTAAGATAACTTTAGCATACATATTTGTTAGAAAGCCTTGTTAAGTTTGAATAATAAAATATGTGGAATTGGTTTCTACTCAAGTTTGCCTTGTTGTTGGTCGAACGATAAAATGATAAATCCGGACAAGTGACTAATTAACCTTTAGGAATTGCATGCAAACTTCTGGGGCGATATTAAGAGAATTGTCGGGTCTTATCATTAGGCCGATGTTATTTTGAATATGCTACAGCACGATTGATGATAAGCCCCGATAAGTCTGTCAGGGATGTGACGCTCTTATTATCGCGATGCGTATGTAGGTATGTATAAGGTTTGCCGCGGGTAGCGAAAATGCTACCCGTTACCCGACCCGCTACCCGCAGCACTGCTACCCGTACCCGCACGGGTACCCGTGCGGGTACCCGTTACCCGCTACCCGTTTTGGGAATTAAGCTAAAAACCGACCAACGTTCAGAATAAATTTGATGTAATCAATTATTTGCTCAGTTTGGTTGATATGTAGTTTGAGATAATGCTATGCAAGTAAAGCATGACAAAATTTGGTATGTTGGTGTAACTAGGTATTTGTTTCTGAAACCAAACTTTCTGGCTTATAATGGAACGTTTTTCAAGCTACACAGGGTTGCTTAGCCGCTTATATCAAAAATTCAAAAATTAGGCCAAAAATTAGGAATTGCATAACACTTATTTTTCCGTTGAATGATCCGTTTAAAGAAAACTATTGGAGGAGTGCTGCACTCCGAGTGAAGAGTTCAAAGTTTTTGTCCGAAGAAAAAGATGGCAAATATTTACCTAAAAATTTAACCTTGCAGTCAATATTTTTCTTCAAAGTGACCAGTCAACAGAAGGAAAAGTATAACGTGATCCATAATTTTAAGCTTGACGTTTTGACATAACTCGCTAGACACTCTTGGTGTGGCTTGAAAAAATCAAGTTGAAAAAATCAGTCAGTTCCAATGTTAGTTTAATTTCTGAAATTCTGATCTCAATGAAGTTTTCATTGAAAAATCTTCTGCAAATAAAATTTTAGCCTTCAATCCGATTGAAGTTTTTCATCTGCACAAATTAAAATATTCTCAGTTTTACAAAAATACGCACAAATGCAAATAAAATTTGTGCACGTATTTTAGAGCAGACAATTTATATCTGCTTGAGAAACAATAATTTCTCCGCATTTTCTGGTCGTAAAAAGTATTTGAGGCTGCCGTATCTTCTGTCGCTTCCGAGCAGACACTCACTATAAAGGCTTGTTGCTGCCAATGACGAATGTTGAACTGAATATATAATAAAATCATGCTTCTGTAATTGTAATTAAGGCCTGAGAAGCTTGTAACTTTGTTTGTTAGCCAATTTATGGCCAAAATAGAATAAAAACTGAACTACCCGTTACCCGTGCGGGTAGTTGTCGCTACCCGCAGATAACGGGTACCCGCAAAAATCGTGCGGGTATGCGGGTAACGGGTACCCGACCCGTTACCCGCGGCAACCCTAGTATGTATATACGTAAATATTGAGACATAAATATTGTGTATCTACATACATATGTAATGCTCTTGGTGTGTAGTATGAGGATGATGAGTAAACTTGACTCTTTCGTCACACTTAATCTCGTGACGTGACGTGATTGATATTGAACCTATAAATTTAGGTTTTTATGTACATATGTAGGCATGGGTCAGGTCAGGTGAGTCGTGATTAATTCAAGTGAGATATTATGAATCAGTCCGGCATAAAAGTTATGTACGTATGTATGTATATATGTAACCTAAAGCTAGGATTAGATGCCTAATTAATTTGACTACAAGTTTCGAGTCTTACAGAATTAAGATCTTGTCCTTGTGTATTTAAACAAATTGAAAAATCTTAATTTGCCCCTTTCATCTCATCCCAGCAAAGGAGCCAGTACATTCCCCATGAAAAATAATGGGTCGTGTTGAATGAGAAATAAATACATATGTAAATACCTAAGTACATACATATGTTTTGTAAACGCAAAATAGAAAATTATACATTTAGACTTAAACACTGCAAAAGTGGTTAAAGTTTGACAATATTTATCCAGATGTGCATTTATTTTAACAATTTAGATATGTATGCATGTCTCAAGGTTAATCTCGTAATAGCATACATACGTTCAGTTTTTTGGATTTCAGGGTTGGCCAAGATACTTTGTTTCAAAGATACAAGATACAAGATGTTTGAACGAAACCTTAAGATACAAGATACTAAATACAAATAAATAGAGTTACACAAGATACAAGATACAAGATAGATTTTATCTGCTGTAATCCCAAATACAAGATAAAAGATATTTATTTGAAATAATTATTTCAAGATACAAGATACTTTATTCGGAGCTTGCAAAGAAACATGAAATAAAGAAGCACCACTTGATTTTTTGTATTGTAGCCGAGTAACTTGTTAATAATGATAGAACAGACTCATAACTTGCATTGTAATTTATAATGCAAGTCCTCACCCTCTGTTTACAATTTATAAACAAATATGAGGATTTCATCTGTGGTGACCCATGCTGATTTTTTAAAATTATTCTATGGAACTGAAATTATTATTACTAGTATATTCAGTTGAAATTTGGAATAATTGCTCTAATGGTGGTACAAATTAGGAATATAATGCAAATGACAAAATTTGCCAACATGCGAGGGTTTATTTACTGTGGATAAATATAACGACGTTATACAACCGAACCTTGCGTCCGGCTCGGCAAAGCTGTACACTGAGGTTTTTAAATCTTCATAAGTCCAAATTTTAATACTACCAAATATGCAAGTTTCCCGGTTTTTCGCTAAAAAAAGTATCTTGTATCTTGACTAGTATTTCAAATAAAATATGGTTGAAATAAATTCTCCAGATACAAGATACAAGATAGAAAATACTTTTGCGAAACGTTCAGATACAAGATAAAAGATAAGATAAACTCCGTTACACAAGATACAAGATAAAAGATATATCTTGTATCTTGTATCTGATATCTTGTATCTTGTTAAATTATCTTGGCCAACCCTGTTGGATTTATTGAGATGAATGACACTGCACAATGTATTATTAACCCGGAAGATGTTGCAAAATTCATAGGGGGTGTAACCCCTTCAAGATATACATATTTCGGTTCAGGAGAACAAGATAAATGCACCCAAAAAAAATTTTCGGACCACACCCCCTGTGGGGGGAGTTAGACCCACAGGGGGTGTGGTTCGGAACTTTTTACATTTTGGGAATCAGAAACTCATTCTCACTCTAAATCCAAAGTTTTGAGGATTCAAAAAATTTTCCAGGCGAGTTATAGCTATTTATATGCCCCAAAATGTGCGTTTTCTGGCAACTTTGAGGGGGTGTAACTCTGCGCTAGGCAGCTACCCGACCATGGTATCAACGGTTTCTCAATGCTACGAGGGGGTACAACTATCCTACAAGGAAAGGTCCCTCGGGTACCTGCCGTATCTGGAGTTACACCCCCTAAAACTTTCTCAATAAAGTGCTATTTTGAAATTATTAAAAAATATAGATTTTCAAGTTTTCCGAGTGCAATCTTGATAAAAAAATTATAAAACAGTTGGATAAGATCTTTTGTATGCAGAATGCACTCAGAAAACTTGAAAATCTATATTTTTTAATAATTTCAAAATAGCACTTTATTGAGAAAGTTTTAGGGGGTGTAACTCCAGATACGGCAGGTACCCGAGGGACCTTTCCTTGTAGAATAGTTGTACCCCCTCGTAGAATTGAGAAACCGTTGATACCATGGTCGGGTAGCTGCCTAGCGCAGAGTTACACCCCCTCAAAGTTGCCAGAAAACGCACATTTTGGGGCATATAAATAGCTATAACTCGCCTGGAAAATTTTTTGAATCCTCAAAACTTTGGATTTAGAGTGAGAATGAGTTTCTGATTCCCAAAATGTAAAAAGTTCCGAACCACACCCCCTGTGGGTCTAACTCCCCCCACAGGGGGTGTGGTCCGAAAAAATTTTTTGGGTCCATTTATCTTGTTCTCCTGAACCGAAATATGTATATCTTGAAGGGGTTAGACCCCTTGTGAATTTTGCAACACCTTCCGGGTTAATAATACACTGTGCACTGGCCGAAGCGGGGTTGGATTGGTTGCTATGCCAACCAACCTAACCTTACCACGTGGTAAGGTTAGGTTGCTTACGTTACCACGCGTGGTAACGTATCAGTGATACAAACTTTTTGTTTTACTAGATAATTCCTCAATTCTAAGTGCATATTAAATATTAGAATGTGCAAATAAGAATAAATAGTATAACAACTGATAGTTAAAACGTTTGCCCCGATTTTGTCAATTTATGCATCAAAATTTATCTATTTTTTCTGAATTTCATGCAATTATTGTACCTACAATGTATTTAAATACCTAGGTCTAAATCATACAAGAAAAGCAGAAAGAAAAAAAGTTCAGGAACAAAATTTTACCAATTTGTCAATGCTCATGAATGCACATTTTTCATTCAGTTACTCATGTTCAAATAGGATAATACATAATTTTGACGTTTTTTCAGAATGTTTATAATTTGGACATTTTCTTGTATAATGTACTAGCTTAGCACTATAGATATATGTATAATTAAAAAAATGCGTCCAAGTTTCCGTTGGGCTAAATTATCTTCACTTTAGCCTATCCGAGTAAAATGTCGCCTACTCTGTGTGCACATAGTTGCGGTATCTACTCCGCTCGGCTGCAACTCCGGGATAGGAAAGGTAGTTATATGCTCAAGCTTAATAGCTAATCCTAAGTAGTTGCGGTATTAACTCCGTTAGGCTTCAACACAGGGGGAAGTGGGGTTGCAAAGCTCAAGCTTAATAAACCGTAGTAACGTTAGAAGTAGCTCACCCTGGAATAATTAGTTGGATATAATTTTGCATCAAAGGTGCAAAATAAGCGGATACAATAGATGCATAATTTTTATACAATTTTGCACCAATGGTACGGAATAAACGGAAAATAAAAGAAGTTTGATATAATAGTGCACCAATGGTGCAGCCAAAATGGTTAAAATTGGGACTAAATTTTGACAGGATTTCGAGGTTAAGTGAAGT